CTTTGATTCTTCAAGCTTGTTTGAATGTAGTAAGTCATGAAAGAAATTTGAATTCGGTCATGATAGTGTTAGAGATAGTTAGGGTTCGTTTTTATTTTTACGTGGTTGTTGCTGGTCAAATATAACATCTCAAAATACCAATATCAGAGCATAATGTATAGCTTTAGTTTCCTTTTACATGCCAATGTGAAGCAGATGTTGATGATTGTTGCTAATCTAAAGTTTATGGCCGAAGCATTATGGTGGACTTTCACATCATCTACCAAGAGATGTTTTTTTAGAATTTGCGAGAGTGGAGGTGGAGCGCAAGATGAGTTCGGAAGGGGGGAAAAAATTGAACAATGGACGGGCCAGACATCATAAAACGGCATTGTTCGAGTAAATAGTAACGGGGAAGGGATTTGCACTTTGATGAAAAACATGAAGAATAACAAAACAAAAAAGAAAACGACATTGGTTTCAGCTAATGGGGGTCAGGGAGGGAAGGTTTAATGGCGAGGAGCTAAGGGCAAGAGTGCTTCTAAGGCTAAATATAACATTTAAAAAATAATTTGAAGATATTTGTATTTTCTTGATTTTTAAAAACAGAAAGTGATAATAATTTTAAAAACATTTGAATTTACCCTTATTTGCATGCTTTGCTAATAGTATATTTATTTGATTTATGAAGTGGCAAGTTCAACCAAATTCTAATTAGCGTGCGATTGAGAATTTGAAGGCTGTTTTCCCCTTACAAAAACAAGGTGGGGGGTTTGTGGGTGGGAGGTAGGTTTTCTAAATAAGGTAATTTAAAAGTTATGCCAATTGCACTAATAAAAATTGATCCAAGTAATAAGAATTTACTCCTAACTCACAAGTTGTTCATGTGAGGATTTTGTTGGTGGATAGTCTATAAAGATTTCTAAATTTGAAGGCATGTCTTGATTTTATAGTGAACTCTTGAGATTCATCTCACCTAAATTTTTATAGTTGTTAAAAAAAAAATATGCACCTGTTTTAAAATAATATTTTAAATCTCAACACAATAGATATATAGTTTTGAATTTTTTTTATTAAGAGGATTTAAACCTGATCTTTATTTACACTTTAACCAGAGCTATTTCCAAGTGGCTTGACATAAGAATAATTAAATATTAATATTTTAATTCATTTTTATTTTCCTGTTTTAATGCGACTTAATTTTTAATGTCATTTATCTTTTTTTTTTTTTCATTAAGTCCCTCGAGGATTATTCATGCTTATAAAAATTTCAGGACTGAACGGGTTCCCAAAAAATATCTTGAGTTAAAATAAATAAAATGTTAATTTAAATAATAAACTTGAGCTATTTTTTGTAAATATTAACATTTTACTAAAAAATTATCCAAACGGGCGAACCAAGAAGTTAAATGTCCAGAGATTGTAAACTATACTGATAACTCGTTTTTTCTCAGTGGGAACAAGAAGGCAGCCCAAAAAAACAGAAAGTCCTTTTCTTTTCTTTTTTGGTTACAAAGGCAGAGACCTTACATTCGTCCAAATGAATTCAACGTTGGGTCCCAAACACCACATATCATTACGTGCTAGGTCCCACCCACATCACCCGAAACGTTAGCAGCTCGTTCCCGTGATATCATTACTACTAGTCCATTATTAATAAACTCGAGCTTTCATTACCATGAAACGTGACGAATAAATTAGTAGCTCCTACGGAAATGTGGTTATTGCATCAGATAATGATAAATTACCTTAAACCTGAGTTAAGGTAAAAAATCGAAAAATAAAACGGTTGAAAAATCCCATGAATTAGAATTTGTAATTGGTCAGGATGCGTTTTGCAATTCAGTGACAAAGGGAATACTGAAGCACCATTTGTAAGGACTTGTGGATATAAGCCGAATAACACTGGATTGGAATGACCAAAAATATGAAGAAACTGTTGATCACTTGAGTCAGGCTAGCAATCATTTTAACAGTTAAAAGGTCATGTATTTCCATTGTTACGACCAAGCGGTGACTTACCGAGAGACCCACTGGAACTAGCATCTAAGCCATGTTGGTTGATTTCTTGCTTACCTGAGAGATTGATACCAAGTCTAGTTTGGGGGCTCTGGTTACTGCCACTGTTGGCGCCAGGAAACCTATTCACCTGCCCTTGGAGGAGCTGCTGTTGCTGGAAGAATGCTGGCTGCTTAAGTTGCTGCTGCTGATCATTCATCTGGAAAGGCAATTTTGAAGTTGAAAGGTCTGGTTGTTGCAGAGATATTGTGGGATGATGTTGCTGTTGATCTTTCATATCGAAAGGCAACATAGGAACATCTGGTTGTTGCTGAGACATTGCTATGTGAGGTTGCTGGCTGCCTTGCCCTTGTTGCATAACAACCTGGGATGACAGCGGCACAGTTTTCTTGGAAGTGAGCAAAAGTTGCAGTTTGAAATGGATTAGAATTGGGTAAAGTTTTATCATGAAGTTATCCTGTAAGAATATGAGATATTAATAAAATTAAGAGACCTAATTATAATGCTAAGCTCAAGAAACATCTCGTTATCTTGTTTATGTTTGGAAACTTAACAACCTAAAACCTGCATCTAAGTTTTTCTTCATTTATATCAGGGTTGGCTAGAGCATGCACTGGGTGAGTTAAGATTACCTGAGGGAGTACAGGCGCTTGAGGTTGAGCATCAGCAAGTTTGGCAAGAAAAGTCAAGTTCTGCTGAAGCTTGGCTTGATATCTGTGTTAGGTAAATGTTAAGAATCAGTAGAACAGTCTTATAAGAACATAACGGTAGTCTGCATAATAAGATACAGTTAAGTTGTTGATAAGTTGTACTACAAGTAGTTTCTTTAGTCAAAATAATAAAACCGGAAGAAATGTTGATCCAATAAAGAATTATATAATGCCTTTGATTAACTTGACCTTCATCAAAGAGGAAGAGATTATTTGAAACCAGAAATACGTAAACTTCCTGTTTATGCTAGAATATAGAGTGAATATACTCATGCGAATTCCTATGAGTATTTTGATAACTGCCTATTGCAGCCCTCAATTTATGCACTAGAATACAATGAGCAAATGACACAAATAATGTGAAATTTTCGGAGTCAGATTCAGTGCAAGGGTGCTAGAAATGAGTTTATAGAGGAGGAGAGGAAAGAGGGGCAGTTCCTGTTGATATAGTTGTCTAAATTATTCTTCACTTTTTCATTATTTACAATTGTATCGCATAAACGTATATATCTTTTTTCTTTGAAACACGTTTCCTGAGCTTCCATTTCCCAGAGCACCTATGATCTCAGTCAAATAGATCCAAAAAGGAAATGCCAAACAAAGCCGGAGGTACTGAAGGATGATTAACAAAAAGGGTGCACATGATCTACAATTGTGTTCCATGAGCATTTTGTTTCTTGATCTCATGATTCCATAACAAGAGGTTATCTCCCATCCAGTTATAATTCAAATTGGTTACAGATGAAGTCCCTTAACATTTTTCACTGTCTAGATCCTGTTTGAACCTCGTTTCACACTAACTTGTTATACAAAGAAGTGTTTGATTGTCCTGTTTTTTAAAAGGCATGCATACTATTAATTTTTAAGCCGAAACTCAAGATTTCATGTGCCAATGATTCTTAAACTGTTCATGGACACCATAAGATCAGTTGTGGATAAAAAGAATAGGAAGTCAATGTCGAGAGCTTCAAAGCAGATTGTCAAAGAGTACTAAATGATTTGCAAGAGAATGCAGCAGAAAGGCAAGGTTTCTCTAAACAAATTTAAGCAACAAATGGAAGTGACTCTTGAATGTGGGCACTTACTGGGCAACCTCACCAGACTTTCCCATATTCTGGCCCTCCATTATAGTCAGAATCAGCTGCTTATTTTCCTCCAAATACTGCACCAAGGAGAAAGATTCACCAACGCAATATAAACAAGAGCCCAGAAAGTCATAATTTAAACTGAAACACATTCATTGCTACTCATCCATCATCCACTCAATGGTCTTGGTCAGAAAGTTCAAAATTTAAAAGTATTCCTAAGATATGTGAATATAAAATTTCTTTAGACACACATTCCATTAACAATGTAGGCCCCTCTTGGGTTATCAAGAAAACACGCACATCGGTAGGATCACTATATGCCAGTAAGAAAACAATTCAAGATTCCCATTGGATGGCTAACTTAAAAAATAAGTTGTCATAAACACTTCGAAATCAATCAATGACTTGACCCTTTAAAAGGACTACCGCAAAGAGAGACGCTATTAAATAGCACGAACTTTTATCATCAAACGTGTTTCTCGCATTCACCTCAATAAAGACGTTAAATTTAGCACAAGTGAAAAATAAAATTTAATAACTTACGAGTCAAGGAAAGAGAAGAAGTAATGTATACGGCTTTCTCATATCTAAACAAGTAGACAGCGAAAGCCAAAAGCCAGATTTCTAACAACGCCATCACGAACGTTGAAATACTAAATAGATTGACTAAGAAACAATGGATTATGGACAATGAAACAGAAGAATGACTCATGGTAATCGTTGGTACCTTTTGAATTTGCTCGGTCGTGAGGTAAGTGACAGATGCCAAAGAAGAATCAGCGTTGAGCATTTTCGATTACTGATGCTTCTCCACACTGCAAAATCTGGAACCCTAACCCTAGTTCTTCCAGGAAATGAGCGTCAGAGTGATCCTTTCTCAGACCCTCTCCGGCTCTGGCTCTGGCTTCCTGTGGTTGGTAAAATTTGGCTATATATATACTGGGGCTAAATGCAACAAGAATGGTAAGTCCTAAAGTACGGCATTGCATACTGGCCTTTGGCCAGCAAAAACACGGCATGACATTGTAACGCGTATCTATAAATCTATAAATTAATGCTTAATTCTTTTGGCAGTCTCCCACTAAATATGGACATATTTATCAATAAAAATTTAATTATTAATTTATTATGTTATGAGAAATTAATCACTCAGAGATTCCAATAAATAAGATATTACATTATTAAGCAAATACTTTAATAAAAGTACAATTTGCACAAAAAAGGGGGAAAAAGTAGGAGCCAGGGTTAATTTTAAGGTCGAATTGGGCAATTAATTTGTTGCATACAATGGACATGTGCAAAGTGCAAGCTTATTTTCCTCCAAAAAAGGTGATTACGTTAAGATTTAATGTTTCTTTTTTTGAAAAAATATAATATTTAATTCCAAAGAATAAGAAAGGGGTACTATTTATGATTTCTAAATAACAAGTTTTGTGATAAGTTTGATAATTTTTAATATCAAAAATAACATTTTTATTTTCATTTTTGTGGACAAATATATTTTTTATTCATTTAAATTCAGGTTAAAATTTGATGGCAAAAAAAGTCAGGTTAATTTTTTAAAAAACAAGATTTAGGCTTTGATAGACACTAATTAAAAGAAGTCCTTTTCCTTATTTATCATATACTTGTAATTGTCACTCATCAACAACAATAATTTCTCTCCCCCCCCCCCCTCTACATGCTTGCACGTGCCATTAAAAAATAATAACATTTTATTTTATTTTATTTTTCATTCCATTCCTTTTAACCTAACAAACCACCAACTCTGCTAATTTTCTTTGTCTGGTTGTTGTTTTAGTGAAACATTTTTACTTTTTAATATTGATATAAATATAAAAAAATTATATCTATACAAAAAAAATTATTATCAAAATATTTCATAAAATTTATAAAATAATTTTAAATATTAAATATTTTATATTTAAAATTTAATAAAAAATATTTATAATTGCTTGTTGTCTAATTATAAATATTTTTTAATTATAAATGTATAAAATTTAAGATTTAAAATATTTTATAAATTTAATGAGATCTGTTAATAATAAAATTAAATGTAATTTTTTTTAAATATAATTCTTTTAACATGATTTTTTTATTAATAAATTTTATGTTTTGCTTGACCTTTAAAGGGATATGTTTTGACCTGACCCATGAAGAGATGAGCTGTCCGGTCTTTAAAGTAGGAATTAAATATGACAAGGGCCAAATAGTCCAATCCCTGGGGCCCAATATTATCTATAGGCCGGGGGGGGGGAGAGAGAGAGAGTCTAGTACGACGCCGTTTTACTCCAATAACATCCGCGCGAGTTCCATTTGTTTGAGGAGCCGTCGTCGCATACGGGAACAAGAGGTGGACAGCATCAGATTCAGGGGACAACGTCAATGGGGCATGTTGGGCGTATGAGATTCGGGTCCTTCTTGTTACAAGCTCATTTCGCTTTTGCTTTTGCTTTTGAATTTTGGTTAAAATGGGGAGACTTGTTTAGCAATGAAGCTGATTTGATGGTGGTTTTTTTTTTTTTTCTTAATATTGTTTGGAAATTATTATAAACAATTGCAATAGCCTGGCCTTTTAATTTATTCGCTTGATACAGGTGCTGCCATGGCGACCTGCATGTCTTGTGCAATTCAAATATGATCTTTCTCTGCGCCATAAAAAGCCTACCTAAAAGAGATCATCTCTTACATTTCTCCAGTAGTAAATACTTGATATCTTGTCACTCGATTTCCTAATCCTGTTGTTTGTTGAAATATAGCTTCTATAGTCTATACTTCTGTTTTATCGTATAAGTGAGCCTGAAGATTATTTATTTAGACTAGTTAGCGACAGCAACCAAACATTGATGTGATATCAGATCTTTAATTCGGTTTCTAGACTTACCGGCAACTTCTATTAACTGTTGGGATTGTACCTTGGATGGATATAATGATATTGAATAACTGAGAGATAGTCATTATAAGTGGTAGTTACTAGTGGGTGCTTCTTTCCATTAATACAAGTCATAATGTTCAATTGTTTTCAAAGGTCATTTGTCTGCAGACTGGTGCAATTGCAGAAAAATATGCCCGTTGAATGTAGGTATGCTGGTCCCATTTATTTTGGCATATCTTTTTCCTCGCTTATCTGAAGATTCAACTTTTGTAGCATCAACAACACCTATTAATGATCTTTGAGTTTTCTTTATTCGGGCCTTGTCTTTCATTTCTGCATTATCATGTGCTAGATTTCATGTTCCTTCAATTGTAAGTGCATGGTTAGTTGTATTTCTCTTTTTCACCTCTGCTTTCTTCATTTCCTCTCGGAATTCTTTAATGCCATGAGATTCCTTGTCTTGACTTGATTATGTGCAAAACAATTTTCTCTCCTTGTTTTACCTGCCACTCTCTAGTCAACAATATCTTGTTGCTTTCTCTAGCGGGTTTATTCTTATTTCTTAAACCATATCCTTTTCACTTAGAGAGACTTTGCTGAACCTGAAGCTTAATTAGTTGCTAGTTGAATGGCAGATTAATGATAAAAGTAAGGCTGGGATGAATGTAGAATCCATCCAGAGGGTAAGAAGAGATGTTACATTTCTGATAGTTAGAGCTATGATTTTTGTTGTAGCTTGGATGGAACAGTGGAAAGGAAGTGGGATATTTTTAATTTTGCCTAATTGTACCTTTGGTTCCTCTAGTTTCGTAAGAATTTCAATTTGGTCTGGTTAATTTAAAAATGGAGAACGTTGCCTTCCTTCTTTTTCAAAACAATCCAATTCCAAATGAAGAATATGCTATTGATTTCTGATGTTATACGTTGATACCACAATGAATGTTTTGCTTTAGCTTGAAAATTAATAAACAAGCGTAGGCAGGTGGAGGCCGTAACTATAATGAGGAATAGTGTGAAATTTTTGAATTTTTTGCTCTATTCTGATGAATTTGGTGCTTTCCCCTCCATGGTTGGAACTATCTGTATAGTCATTTTCAAATATAGAATATAATATGCTATCGATTTCTTATATTGTCCGTTAATGCATTGATAAACAAAGCTGACATGAATTCTTAATTATGTAGCTACCTTGAGAACTCATATCAGCTTGGTTCATTACTTAATTAACGTGCAACATCAGAAATCAACAGCATATTCTTTACTGCTCAAAATGAAAGCAAAACAACTGTATTTTATAGTTTCACTTCTGACGCAGCATTTATGGTGCGCATCTAGTTAATAGTTATTGATTCAGATTTTCCATTTGTACTGGAGTCGCATTACTAATGTGATGAGAAAGATGGCAACGATGCCCTATTTATTATTACGTGCCCAGTTCTGTATGGCTGCATGCTGGTAAGGCATGCATATAGAGAACTAATAGGTTGAGAATAAAAGTGTACTCAGTGGCGTGGCACGATTTGAAAGTTAAACTCTGAGAACTAGTGGTGGCTCATGTGAAATATGAAATCTGCTTCTCGAAACAAAAGCATAGAAAATCTTGAAGTATGTCTATGAATTTCAATTTCTTGGACTATGTATAAACTCTTTTTTGCTTAATATTCACAAAAGATTGTTATTATTATTTTTGTTCGTCACAAATTGATTGTTATGTTTGAACAATACGATTATCATGTTAGAGGTGTAGAGTTTCAAATATGACTAAAAAGTCCTCAAGTTCTTTTTTCTCAGTTCATGTAAAAATAATAATGTAAATATGATTTGATAGCTAGAATTAGAGTACAAAATTGTAACGATTACAATTATAAAATTAAAATAACTAAGTCCAAGTGCAGAATGTAAAGTGAATTTAAATTGAAAACCAAGCAATGGGTTTGCTTTGTGTGTGTGGAGTGTATCTCCCTAATTTTGTCAGTTGAATCCCTTCTTATACTCATGCCCCTGAGATCATCATGCCCAAAGAATTAAGAGCCCATGTGCAAAATATTCACTATCATTGGGTATGATCTAGCAAAATTTGAGGCACATTAGATAGCAATTTCACATCCATTAATTATCTCTCATGCTTAGTCGCTTTGAGTTTTAAAGGTTATGTCCCTTGCTTTAGGATGTGCTCAGCATGGAACTTAATTTGGAAGCATACTGGGCCTTGGCTTGATTTTGGGCCTCATTTCTCTTTGATTACTTTGGACTTTTGTTAATTGATGCTTCATTTCAAACCCAAACAATTATTTACCCTTGTAAACGAGTTAAGGGTACAGCTACTGGTAAAAGCAACTTCCTTCTATGGTTTTTCACAGATGAAAGCCTTAAGGAGTCACTAGGCAGACGAGTTGCTTTTCTGGAAAACTCAAAGCGAAGCAAAGTCACACCACACGAGGAATCTATAGAATAGGTGCTTGGACTGAGAATTTGTCGAGGAAAATCTACTGAATTTAGTCACTATGCAGAGTGACGATTAAGTATTGCAGTGTTTGGTAGGTTGAAAACAATTTTCTTTAAAAAAAAATGTGAAATGTAATCATCTCATTTTTTTTCAGGTACGTCAGTCATTTTATTTCTAAAAACAATTTTTTTTTTTTTTTGTGTACCAAATATGCTGTAAGTTTATCCAATCGATTTGTGACGATCAGCAGTGCATCCTCATGAGAGTGGAGTTGGTTAGAAGCTGAGTACAAGCAGTGGTCATTACTGTTTTATGATGAATTGCAAAGCAATGTTATATTGATCGCGATGATGGGTTACAGTAAAATCCTTGATATCATTCTATAGGAAAACATGTATACTTGTGTGTGTAGCACGCCACGCGAGTCGGTGAAGCATTCTTTGTTAATCAGATTCATTATGCCATATGAGAACAATTTAAGTTTTACTTTTGGTTTCAATTTGCAGCTGATTATACATGAGTTAGTGAGCTGGAGTAAAAGGTGTAATCGAAGCAAATCTGGCAAATACGACGGGGTTAATTGATTGAAAATGTATAGACTGGTGGCATTTTGGTGGGAGGGGAGAGGGAAAGAATAAAAAAACAAAAGAAGGGTAATAATTGGAAAAGGTGGTGGGGGAGATGATAGGGAG